TCCCAAGGCAGTTGGAACGGCCATGGTCTAGAAAATAAGCAACAATAAGTTCTGGAGAGGACATGGGGAACACAGAACCCTTATTCATTGTCAGTGGGAGTATAAACTGGTGTAGTTACTAGAGAAATCAGCATGGAGGTTGCTCATAAACTAAAACCAGAATTACCACGCGGCCCAGCTAGGCACTAGCTCTGCCAACAGTAGGTCACATGGGCCAGGTGGGGCTTAGCTGCTAGGTTCTCTAATCTTTGCCCCTGCCACAAAAGTCAAACATGTGCTTCGAATCATTTGCGAAGGGTATTCCCTTGAAACTTCCTCACACCAAGCAGCTCCAAACAGAGCACACCCCCACCTTCCCTTCCTTTACATGCTAACGTATTTCCCATCCTCGGCCTGCCTTTGAGAGGCTCTGTCAAACATCCAACTGGGTTGGAGATGATACGAGTTCTGGCTAAACAGCTTTCGCTTCATTGCTTGGTTGGTTTTCCTTTGCACAGCACTGTCTGAAATAGGTTTTGTAGGCTGTAGGCTTCATTTATTAAACAACTATTTATGCCAGGCGTGTTCACACCTGTAATCTCAGCACTTAGGAGGCCAAGACAGGATTGCCAGGTAACGACAATAAACACTGGCCTAACGTATTAAAGCCTGTTGACTGGATGGCCAAGCCATTCTTTCTATCGTCACAGTATTTACTCCTGGCCCATGTTTAAAGCTTTTAATGTTCCTCTTCCCCTTTCACACAGAGCCTCATTATGTAACCCACCTTGGCCTGGTACTTGCTATTTGACCTAGGCTGGCATTGAACTCATGATCTTGCTTTTGTCTCCAGAGTGTTGGCATTACCAGACATGTGTCACCCTGCCCGATAGCTTTGTGAAGTTGGCATAGGAGTGAGAATTGCCACAAGGGAAGAGGAGTCCAAAGAAACAAGCAATGTGTGATGTTTATATACTATTTGGACTGAAGTTTTGGGGTGGGCTGACAAATGGGACAGGAAAGAGCTAGGGTGGGGCAGTATGGAGTCTGGTGACATGCTACGGGGAGGTTAGGCGGCCGTGGAATGTCACTGGATGGACAAGATGGCGGCCATGCTTTCAGCTGAACTTCAGAATCTGTTCACGAGTCCATGGCAGCTGATCCTCCTCACCAAGATCTGGGATGTAGCGCCGGGCAGTGGTGGCCCACGCCTATAATCCCAGCACTCGGGAGGCAGAGACAGGCGGATTTCTGAGTTCAAGGCCAGCCTGGTCTACAGAGTGAGTTCCAGGACAGCCAGGGCTACACAGAGAAACCCTGTCTCGAAAAAACAAAATAAATAAATTAAAAAAAAATATCTGGGATATCAACGGTTTATGGCAGGGACACTACAGTCCTGATTACCATCCTCTGGTGACTGAGGTTAATTTCTAGCATTGTCACAGAAAGAACATTCTTGTCCAAACATGTTTTATGGCTTGCTGCATAGGAAGGCAGGTCAAATGCCCGCCCCCCGCCCCGCCCCGTCTGAAAGCTGCGGGTCCTTAAGCAATTTCTGCTTGAAATAATCAATAGACCAATTTGGCATATTTTACGATTGTTCCTTCCGCCACCCTTGCTTTAACAGGAAATGCAAAACAAAGAACTGGGCACTTTAGACTCTAGTACTAAACGAGAAAAAGAAAAAAAGAATGTGCATGCTTCCGGGAGAAGGCAAGGCTATGTCAGCAGCGGGGAGTCCATAGTGATTCCTGCTCTCCTTCAGGTACTGTCCGTATAGCGCAGACAGAGCGGGTCAGGAACCAGGGACGCATGGGTCTATCTTTCCCTCTGGGTATCTATCTACGTGCTAGGCAGAGAAGGCAGAACCGTGGACAAGCGGAACCCAGTCTGATCTGGAGCGAGTGCTGAGAGCACGGAGGGGGCTGGAAGAGAGGGAGCCTTCCTCGGGAGTTTTATGTTCGACTCTTGTAAGACGTAGTAGGCCTTCCCCAGTGATCCTTAACGAAGAGCTGTGGAGAGCTTTTGGGGCTGCTTGGCAGGAATCCGACATTGGCCAAGGACAAGGAAGTGGGCTTTAGACAGGAATCTGACATTGGGCCATGACAAGGAAGTAAGTTCAGTCAGGAATCTAATTTTAGGCTAAAGCAGAGAAGTAAGTTCAGGCAGGAATCCAAGTCTTAGGCTAGAACAGAGAAGTAGGCCTCAGGCATGAATATGACTGTGGGCTAGGACAGGAAAGTAGGCTCAGATATTTTTGTCATCCAGATGAGCCTTTAGAAACAGCTTAGATCATGAGAGTGATCATGGGAGTGATCACAGGACTCTGTATATTGCCCTGTTTGTTCCTTGACTGTTTGTATCTATTGTATTGTTGGTTCCTCAACCTAGAACTGACCTAAATACTTGCATGTAATTATAAGGGTTTAAAAGAAATGTGGAAATAAACTAACCTGCTTCAGCCTTCAGCCTGAGAACTGGCTGGGGTCATGCTGCAATTTTGTCTAACCATCTCTTTTCTTTTAATCCTCACTCCTGCACTGGAGAACCTGTTGACTGACTGAGCAGGCTTGGTCAAAGAGCCAATCCTTGCTTGTTCACATTGACTTATTTGATGGTGGATGTGAATGCATACATTTATTCAGGGTGACCAGGGATGAAATAGCTTTTGCAGGAGGAAATGCCCAGGGAGAGCTCACTGGCTAAATGCTCAGGGGCTATCGAGATACCTCACTAGCATGGAGAACTCCAGGTGTTTGTGCTACATGACCCCAGTACCCATGGTCCTTAGTGGGGTGTCATGGTTACATGTTTCAGAGCAGGCAGAGGCAGGGAAGGAATGACTCCACTCCTGTCCTTCTCAATTCTGAGATTCCCAGGCTTTGAGCTCATTCAATCGTAACATTTCTTGGTCTGTCTGGTAACAAGGTCCCACAAGAACAGGAAGGTGTCCTGCCAGAAGCTGCCACCCACCCCTAGAGGAGTGTGGAAGCCTGGATGTTGAGTAGCGGATATTTGACATTGGATGAGATGCTGTTCGGTCAAATCCAGAGCCTTGGTGTTGAATGGAGTTCAGTGGCCCGTGATACCAGGCAGACGTCATCAGAGTGGGACAGGGATGCCTAGTGGTGCTGTAACAAGCGTTTGAAACAGCTGACACTAAAAAAAGAAATGGCTTGAGCCCACAAGGGACCTAAAAGCAAGACAAGAGCATGGCACCTTTACCTTCAATCCCATCTGTCTCTTTGAGGCTCAGGCTCCTGATCGACTCTGTAGAGATGCATGAAGCCTTCTGTCTACCTAACCCATCTCATTCCTGTGAAAGCTGAAGGCACAAAGGTTAAACTGGCAAGTCACCTTAGATTTCCAGAGGTATAAAAGACAGTCTGGTCCCCACCCAAAATGAGCCCCATCCTCCACAACGGCAAGGCTGCACCCTGGAGCAGAAGTGATCCCATTGTAAATGGGTAAAAGGGTCCAGTGACCCCCAGGGTCTTGAGGGTTCTTTAGGCTAAAGTAGCAAGAATTGGGACAGGGCAAGAGGTCTGCATAGTTAGGCAGTCTGAGCCGAATCTGGTTCTGTGAGGCGAGCCAGAATTCTTGCTGTCCCCATGTCCCCTTTACCTGTTCTCAATGTAGACACACTGAATCAACTGCTTTTTTTTTTTTTTTTAATACCATTTCTTCTCTTTAGTTGGTGCACTGGGATGGGCGACCAGAGCCCTTCTATGAAGGGATGCCACGGGCTGTCTTGGTGAGGAGAACAAAGAATGGGTACCAAAGAAGCAACATGAGAAGGAACTGCCCAATTTCACCCGGCCTTCCCTCTCATCTCTACTGCTGGATTTCAGAAAGCAGCTGGATGGCACTGGAGGAGTGAGGTTGCTCAGTTCCAAGTGAATGCCAAAGGCCAGGTATGACTGAACTCCTGTATCTATGGGTTCAGTATCTGTGATCCAACCACGGTAAAAAATATTCAGGGAAGGCCGAGTGTGGTGGGCCCCACTTTCAATACCAGCATGGGTGTGAAAGAGGCAGGCAGATCTTTGTGAGTTTGAAGCCAGCCTGGTTTCCACAGCCAGTTCCAGACCAGCTATAGTAAGACTCTGTCTCGAAATAAACAGTTTGGGATAGAAGTTGTACTGATGCTGAAGGTGCCGACTTTCTTGTTATATCCCAAAACAACACAGTGTAAACATAAGGATGATGCCTGTATCTGTGTAGATTCAGCACTGTTTCTAATCTGGGGACGGGGCACATACTGTACTAGTCTCTCTTAGGTGCTTACATATTCTTAAGATGTATACCCTCCAGAATTCCTGAAATGGAGTCTTTCCCCTACCAAAATATGACTGTATAGAGAGGGCAAACTTGAACTTGAGAAGACATAGCTTGATATTGGCTACAGTTCACCCAGTTACTCAGCTGACACACACACACACACACACACACACACACACACACACACACACACACAATGATCTAAACATAACCCAACCCACTGCTATGAAAGATCCATCTTTCTTTCTACTTAGTAAACTGCAAATGTCTGTTGGACACAAAGTTATCTTCAAAGTGAGCAGAATCCCAGCTGGTATAGGACAAGTTTCTAGATCTACTTTATCTCTCTGGTCACAGGCCCGAGTATTATTAACTGGATAGTAAGGTTAACATACAACCCATCGAGCTGAGGTCACATGACTGTGGTCTACAGAGATCCATAGAAGGGTATGTTCTTTATGTATCACTGATAGCAAGACTAAATGAAATCAATAATTGTCAGACTTTCTGGACAGACAGGTAATTCCATGTGCTAGGGTCTAGCCAGTGCTAAATTCTATCGGGCTGTCCCCTACGAGACTGGTAACTGTACTTGACTGACAAAAGGAAACCTTCTATAGTTCAACCTTAGACATTAGTGTACTCTCAGTTAATGGCTAGTCTTTATAAATTATTACATGGATAAGGTTGTATTACTGAGGAAGACTAAAATTACTTCAAAGTGTAAGAAAACAGAAAAGTACATGAAAACATATTTATTATAGAACATTAGGAAAATGACCAAGATGACTGTTGGAAAATACACAAACCCCACACTGCTCTATATGACGAAGGCCTGAGAGCATGCAAATACTCTAGGCTGTAAAGCCATGTCTGTTCCTAATAAATCACTTCTGAAATTTCTCAAGTATTTGAAACCAAAGTGAACATATGAACTGGCTTGACATGATTCAAAGAGTAAAATATAATAAATATAAGGGCAATTAAACAAAGGCAACGATTAGTTTACAATAGTCAATCCTGGACAGTAACTGGAGAGCAGTGTGTATGCGCCCTGTCTGTGTGTACATACACACAGAATCAGGTCAAAAATGGGAGCGGCCCGTGCCCATGTATTTGAAGCCCCCGAAGAATGCCGTAAAAAGGATGTATAACATCCATTCCACATCTGTCTCAAGAACAGCACATTTCCAAAATAATGCATTTCTTTAGAAGGAAACAGTGTTTTAACCAGCACAGATGACAGGAAGATGAGCTCAGACCATGCTGTGCTCACAGGCATCCACTGTATCCGAGGCATCCATTTTAGTCTTGGGGCTTTAAGAACATCTTCTTAGTTTTAATGGCTTTTATATTTCCATTTTCATCTTCTTCGTAATTGGCTCGGTCCCTTTTCTTGGCAAACTTTTTTCCAATTGTTCCCACCAAAGTCTCATATCTGTTAGGAAGATACATAGCACAAATTTAATTTCAAATAATAAAAAAAAGGAATCAAGAGGCTTGCCAAAAACATCATGCCAAATGCAGCAAGAAAAACAAAATTTATAGTGAAAAGAGACTGCAAGATTTAAAAATCTACTCAGTTGGCTAAGGACAATTAAATTCTCTGCTGGTTTTGTTTCTGCATTCCCCAAACAGACGGAGACCTGTGTTTGCTGTCACCAGAGCCAGTGATGCAAAGGAGCCCTCATGGCCTGCGTGCCCAGCAAGAAGCCCCGGGGCCATTAGGAGCGGGCAGAGTAGGCACAATCCCCACTGTGCACTGGGGAGACTGCTCCGCAGACTGTGCAGTCAGACGCCCCAGGACGATCCCACAGCTCCCAGCTCAGTTACCTTCTTGCCATTTCTTCATCCGACACATCGACCTCTGCCGTCTCATCTTCTGCTGCTGCTGCTGCTCTGTTCTTAGAATTCATCTGAAGCATTAACTTCTGAAAGACACACCAGTGCTGGCCGTCAGGGAGGCTGAGGGAGTGAGGCAGAGGAGGAGGGGGTCTCTGACACCTGCAGGACTCATAAAAGCCTTTGCCAAGAGACTCCATGTTAGAGCCCAGTGACCTGGGCAGTTTTCTGAGCTGTTATGCCCGAACCTTCCTATTGAGGAGGCACTCTGGGAAACCTGTCTACCAAAACCCCAATCTTCGGCCAACAGATTCATAAACCCCAAATGGTTGCTTCCTTTTCCCTCCCAGTCTCCTGCCCACTTAAAGCTTAAAGGAGGCTGGGGCAGAGAAAATGAACACCAAACATGGTGAGTGTGGACTCTGCAAACATAACACCTTGATTATGATGCTACACACTCTGTGTCTTCCCCACAGAGATACCGCCCACAAAACCAACTCTCCATCTTTAAATAAACTTTGGTGTGAACTTAGGTGACTGAGGTTTTTTCTGAGGAATCTAGAAAAGTGACTGTCATTTGGGGATATTTTGTCCATCATGGGACAGATGACAATGGCCAGAGACATTTTTAGTCACCACAGCTGAGTTGAAAGAAGCAGGTATGCCACTGGCATTTAGTGGGTGGAGGCTGAGGCCTGAGGGTAGCCTGGAGGGCAGAGGCCTAGGGGTAGCTTGGACCATCCTTTAACGTCCAGGACAGCCACCATAAAGGATAGCCCCAGTGTTACTGTAGATTGAAGAAGCATGGCTAACCTGGCACCAACTAAAGTTTGCACCACACATCTGCATAGACCAAGCCTACAGGAGGGCTCTCAGCACAGGCATCAGAGTTCTTGTAATATGACAGAGTACAGATCTGCTTTTCTGTGGAACTGAGTCAGGAAAGTCAACTGACAGCCCAGTTACAAGGTGAACATTCATTTTTCAAACAGACTTTTGAAGGGATTCACTGGGGAAAAAAATAATCTATTTACCAGCTTGGATTAAAATCTGTCCATTACAAAGTCAAATGATACCTCTCTTAAGTAGCATTTTTCCATTAAGAAAGAGACATTTACAGATGCCAGAAAATAACTCCTCATAATAGCATCACATGAATAGTCTTGACATTCCTGTAAAAGACCCAGTTGAAACTCTAACAGCGGCTGCGTCAGGGACCGCACACCGCTATATTAAATTACCCACTCAATTCTTCCATAAAACCAGACTGCCACGCTGCAATTTCTTTAAATAGCTATGGCAATATTTCAAGACTTGTTATTTTTTATATAATGAGGAGAAATGGTACCTGGTGAGGAGAGACTGAAGCTCAATTATTGGCAGGAAAAAAATGCAATTGGAAAAAAATTTTAAATTTGGAGGAATTATATTTAATACCTCAACTTCAGGATTAAACCCTCTGAATGACATCCTTCCGTAGAGAAGATCCTCACACAGAGAGAAGCTCTGCTCTTCTATGATGAAGCTCCTGAGCAGGATAAGAAACCCGTGTTAACAGTGCGTCTGCTCACAACCCAGTGCAGAAGCGAAGGTCAAGACTGGGTGGGAATCCAGCTTCTGGGTCTTGGAAGGAGCAAGCAAGAGCACAGTGAGATTTCTACCCAGGGTGAGTGGTAAAAGCTCCTCCATCTGGCCAACAGCATTGGGAGACAGAACCATGGCCTTGGGTACAGCTTCCTCTCATCTCTGTAAAGAATTACATCACACAAAGACCCCAGGAATTCTTGATAAACTTCAACTTTTCATAGCTGAAGCAAAATACCTGACTCTCGTGTGACCTCAAGTACTCATTAACTATTCAGGAAAGCAGAACAGCAATTAAAACACAGGACTCGGAACAGACATCAGGCCTGGGCGGCTGTAAACACTAAAGACTGAAGACTGGCCTCGACGGCTCCTGTTTCAGCAGGGAAGCTTGTGATCATGGAAACTGGACTAGCAGGACTACAAACCATGCTTCAGAACAAACTGCAGCTGCTGAGGACTTAGCAAGGAAAAGCACAGACATCATGGACACAAGTGCTCTCGGGAACAGACCACAGGATGTCTGACTCTAAGAGTGACTCTTTAGTCTTCAGTTGGAGACCCAAATCCCAGGTCAGGACATTTTCCAGAAGCCAGCAAAGGCCAGGCCTCAGACTCCCTTTATGGAGTCCTGCTCTGCTTCTCACCAAAAACTACACCCTTTGCCAAAAACACGCACAGGGGCGTCTGGGGCCTGGGGAGCAGCCAGGAAGGAAAGAAAGAACATCCTGGTCCAGACATGGTACCAGAAAAGAAACATTTATATCATAAGGGCAACAACACAAGCCACTCCGTTCCAGGCTCTGAATCAGCAGCCCCACCATAGCCAACAGGACAAAAGCAAACACGAGTGTTTCCACAATGAACTACTGAGAGCACAGGGCCGTGACAACTGTGAGAAAATGCCAAGGGAAACAAGCTCTCCTTCGGGAACAGGGACCGGAGCAGAGGATGGCCCTGCTGAACTGGAGAGGAAACTCAAGTTCAGGACCACAGAGGGAGCTGATACATGGTCAAGAAGACAGAAAGGGGACTTGCTGTGAGGTCTCTGTGACTCTCTGGTGGAATTTTAAGTTGCATGGCTCCGAGGAGGACAGAGCTCTGGTGCATCAGCTTTCTGTGGCCACTATAATGGTTTCCTCAAGGTTGGCAGCATCCCGATGTAAACCTAGGCTCTCAGTCCAGGTCATTCCAGAGACAAGCACAGAGTCAGGACTGTAACTCCCCCACGACAACTCCTCCACCTTTCCAGCTGGTACTGAGGTCAGTAGTACTCGCCAGAGGCCACGACACTCGGGTCTTTGCCTGTGTTCAGAGCCTTCTTTCTCTGTGGCCTCTGTTAAAAGGTGTTATGGTTGGTACTCCAAGGGCCTGTTGTGGGGGGAGGCTTGGTCTCCAGTGAGGCCATGGGAGAGTGGGGCCTAGTGGGAAGTCACCAGGGACATTGTACTTAGAAAAAAAAATGTTGTTTCTAGAGTTCACAGCAGTGAGTGACAAAAGCTGGCGCCTACCCCGGTCGGTCTCTCGCTTCCTGCCTCAAGATGCTCGAAAGAGCTGAGCTGATACCAGTGTCATGTCCTTAATTCTCCAGCTGAACAAATCTCTCTCCTTCACCCAGCCTCAGACACTTCATTATAGCAACAAAACCCAGACTCACATGCCAGAAAACACAAGTTTTAGAGTCTTACCCAGATAACCCAGGATAATCTCTTAAAGACCCTCAACTTCATCACAGCAGTCATCTCTGCCAAGGGTACATATGTGTTCAAGAGAAGATGCCCTGGGTATTTGTTATTTGAGGCGGGGCATTTTTTCTAGCCTACTGCATCTGGGAAATAAAGTGCATCCCGCCATGTATATTAGACAAGCGAGGATACATGATGTGTCCAGCCAAAGAGAAGAGATCGAGCCGAATCCCTGTGATATGTAACAGAAAGGCCCTACCTACCTAGGAGTATGGCAACTTTAGCCCGAGCAAAGATGAGAAAATTCAGTGTGACAGAAACAGTGAGCTTCCTGGCATGCCAGTCAATTGTCTAATGGGACAACGCGCAACACTTTATTAAGAAAAACAACTAAACCCAAGAGAGTTAGCAACACACACACACACACACACACACCCTAGACACACAAAGCAGCAGGAAAACAGCCTTCATCAGCAGAAGAAAAATAAGAGATGATAGAATTAGTTAAAAACTAGTTTAGTAATTATAAAACTATAAACATGCCCGAGAGTTTCAATGCAGAAGAAAACAATAGAGAAACCTTAATTTTAAGTGGAAATTGCAGAAAAGGAATCACATAGGAATTCTACAGCCAAGAAAAAAAACCTGTTTTCCTGAAGAAGGAAATTGCTGTGGGTGTTAGCATTTTGTTTAAGCTCTGCCCCACAGTTACCCGGCAACAACCAGGTGTGCCTGACTCACTCTAAAAGGGGCTGCTTGCCCCCTCCTCTCTCTCTTGCCTTCTTGCTCCAGCTCTGTCCCCTTGCCCCTTTTCCCCTCTCTCTCCATCCCCCGCCCCATGTACTCATGGCCTCCCTCTACTCCTCTACTCTCTCTGCCCCCCCCACCTCTACTACCCTCTTAACTCCCCTCCCCATGCCCTGAATAAACTCTACTGTACACTATACCATTGTGTGGCTGGTCCCTCAGGGGGAAGAGATGTCTCAGCATGGGCCCACTGAGGCACCCCCTTCCCCACACCTCACCGCACATCCATCAAAACATACCTTTTTATAAACACATTGGTGGGCATGATAGAAACACCAAGACCCCAGTGCTCAGAGGATGAAGCAGTAGGGCCGAGTTTGAGCGGGCTTGGGCTGCAGAGTAAGAACCTGCTTCAGACAGAACAGTCCTGTACCCACTAAAGAAAACCTGAAATTCATCATGCAGATCTTCTGGATAAGAATACTTTGGGTCCCAGATTACTTCACTGGTGAAATCTGATCAACAGTCCAGAACAAACAACGGAATATTATCAATTTTGTGCAAGCTAAGAAAACACTCAGCAACTAACCCTATGGCCCAAGTTAACGGCATTACAGATAATGCACAGGCTACATTGGTTATGAATATAGCCACAGATTATTAATAAAAATCTGGAACAGAGCTGGGAAAATACAGGCTATTGTGTCCGAGCCAGGTACAGCGGCACATCTCTGCAATCTCAGCACTCAGGGGGCCCAGGGGGAGGCCTGGGAGTTCAAGGCAAACAGGGCCGGACTTCTTTCTCTCCCGACACAAAAATAGATGGTTTTCCTATTCAGAGATTAATATAATTTCTGACATTTTAACACAAGACAACAATCAGGTAATTTTCCCTCTCTCCTTTCCTCACTCCTGCCCTTCTTGTAACTTGCTCTTAGCCAACTAGGGGCAGGGAACTAACCCCACTGGTGAGGGGCATCTACCAAACGCACACAGGCCATGCTGGAGTGGACAGGTCAGGCCTTCCCGAGTCATCTGCCCTCAGCACCGCTTAGCCTTTTCCTTTTCCTCCAGCTACTCTGCTGTCTGCTTAGCCACAGTCGTCTTCTTTTTATATTTCTGACTTTCTCTGCTCCCTTTGGGATGGTGACGTATTCTCCCAGGAAGACAAAGTCCATACGCCCCAGAGGGATGAGGACTTTAAAGGCTTAACGTATCGATCAAGAGGAGGCTGATCTTTCGAGAGACAGTATACATGGGGGACTGAGTGGCACAGATGGGGAGCCTAGGAACTGGGGTACAATGCTTGTGCCCTCCAGCAGGGAAGCAGTACCCACACTGTGCCTTCCCCTCAAAGCCTGTCTCTATGTCATAGCAATAAGATGGTAAGAAGTTATTTATGCCCTATATTTTCTCAGGAAAGGAGTCCAAGTCATTTCCTGAAAACCATATGCTGTGTTGGAAAAAAATAAATACCCTAAGTGAGGTAGAACTGTCCTATCCTTTGGTAAAGACTTGACTTTGTGCAAACTGAACAAACACGCCAAATCAGATGATTGTTCCTCATCAGGACTACTCAGACCTGCCCACTCCTG